AGAGAAACAAAACAACCACAAAGAAACATAAAGCGACTACAAAGAGATTGTTCATATGTTGTTCATTAATCTAGTTAGAAATAAAGTAAAACAGTGACACTCCTGCTTGTTGTCATAGCAGCTGTAGAATAAGATACATTTACAGGCTGAGGAGCAGCTTCATGCTTCGTCCAGCAGGTGGCTCTAAGTTTTCATTCTTTACTGTTTAACCTTCTATTCAGTCAACAGTGGTGGACAGTAGCTATGTACATGTACTCAAGTACTTTACTGTGAGGTACTTGTACTTTACTCCACTACATCTCAGAGGTGAATATTTACTCTTTACTGCAATACATTTGCTCAAGAGACATGGTTACTTTTTAAAATATTTTATTTGTGATTTTACATGCTAAATATATTATTTAAAAAATGTTTTACTATGTTGGTATTTAATAATATTATTATTGTAATTATTATTATTAATAATTACAATAATAATGTTAATAATAAAACTAATAATAATAATGATGATGATAATATGAAAATATAATAATTGTTCCAGTATTCCAGTATAACTTTCTGACTCATATTTTAGGTATTTTGTTGCTAATACTTCTGTACTTTAACTTTTATGTGAATATTTGAAAGCTTATTCCACTACAGTCAGTCTACTCATTGTTGGAATGCTGTTAAGCATTGAATTATTAAGCTTTTTGCAACTTTTTTTTTTTGAATGGGATGTCTATGGAGAACATTTTCAAATCCTCTTAAATTTTTTCAACTTTCAAATCCTTCTACTTCCTCATACTTTCAGCTACAGACACCATTTTAACTTTCAAATGTTGAGAAAATCCTGATATATTGCCGCATAATTCAGCTTTTTGATATCTTTTACACTTTTTGAACTGTAACAATTTAATTTTATGATTTTTTCACTCCTTTTCTGCTTTTATAATGGGTGTGTATTGCGCAGCTTAGAGTGCGTGATGTCACCGCTAGAGTGAAGAGCAGCTTGAGATTTGTGTGAAAAAAACATTTGTCCACAATTTTCACTCTTCATGCATAAGTTCTGGATGTAGAAGTAGCTAATATTGTCCTTGTCGTAGACAAATGACTATGGAATCCCACAGATTTACACATTTGGCACAGAAGCCTGTAATTGAGAGGAAAACCAACTTTCTGCTCCATAGAGACCAATGTTAAATTTTGCCTCAAAAACATCTTCCACAGAACACAGTACCCCATTTCTAGATCGCCAGTTAAGCCACATTTTTTACACTACAGACACAATTTTTACAGGATCTGTTTCTCAAGTCATCCTTCCTCTCATTTATTAATATCGGAGCAATAGGAGCTACGGTTATGGGAGTTTTGATGATTTGTTTGAGAGGTGTTTCCCTGTTTTATCTCCATGAAAAGGCTGCAAGGACACAGGTGTTTCTGATTAAGCTAATTAGTGATGTTGATAAACACACAGACACACAGACACACATACACTCCTCTCTCTCTCTCTCTCTCTCTCTCTCTCTCTCTCTCTCTCTCT